TTTAATTCTATAGAATTCATAAACTTCTATATTGCTCGTGGGTATGGAAAAACCATCACAAAAACTCTACAGAAAAATAGGGTAACTGCGAGGATGAATAGACCTCTCAATGAGCATGCAAAGACCATGAATTTCCTAACAAGTTGTATTTATTAAATGCACTTAGCAAGCATTTGGAAGACGTATGTGGAACTTCATGGTCTTTGTATGCTAATCAATCAAAACAAATTCAAACTTATGGCATTAAAGGCTAATGAATATAAGTTATTAAGGTTTAAAAATTATTCGCTCTATATGTAAAATTTCAAGTTCAAAATTTATTGAATCCACTTTTGTAAAGACTGTGTATTACCTAACAAAAAGAGACTTGGTTTCTCCAAGATCAAAACAAAACTTAAATCCAAATGGCTGGAGCTAGCACCCACAAATGAATGGGGGCTATCTCCTATCATTTCTTTAGCAGGGTCCTTATATTATGCCATCTTTAGTGGCAATTGTATTAAAAATGTATGGGTATATTTAATTAAAAATAAGTTTTCTGAGTTTACCGTTTTTGTAAAATAGAAGAGCTTGGCAAAAAAATGAAATTAGAGATAAAATCAAACATATAATATAATAATGGTAGAGAATATTATTCTATAGAATTGATAAACTTCTACATTTCTCATAGGGTTTATATGGAGAAAATAGTCACAAAAACATCACAACAAAATGAAGTAGCTACGGTGATGAATAGACCTTTCAAGAAACATGCAAAGAGTCACAAAATTTCTAAAAGCCTTCTAGGCATATGCCATAAACACAATATCATATCGAATCAATCAAAGACCATCAAATGAATTCAACTTAGAACTTTCTGATGAAATCCAGACGAGAAAAGTTGAATATTTTTCATAATTAAAGGTTTTGGGATGTCTATCAAATGTTTATATTAATGAAATTAGTAAAGATAAATTTAACCCATAAACCATTAATGAAACTATGTAAGAATTTTGTGGTTAGGATCTTCTAGATAGTGGCGACTAAAGAAACAACCTTAAATACATTAATATAAGTTATTGAAGGACAAAATTTTGAATATTTAAATAGTTTCACTTTACGCTGATAATATTAAGAATGGAGGATTTTTTTTAAGTGAATTATGGGCATTATTAAGAGAAGTGAAGGATCTTACCAACTTCAATGATCTTAGAACAACAAATGATTGAGTGTTGCTTGAATTAATTTTTTATTGTAAGTTTTAAAAACACTTATAAATATTTGCATTCAGGAAACTACATCAATAAAATATATTTATTTAAATTTGAATAATGCTTGGATTTTAAAATTTAATATTTTTTAATGAATTATGATATATTATTATAAAAAATAAAAAATAATAAATATTTTTTCAATGATATACTTTGCACGTATTTTATGTCATAAATTAAAACCAATTATTATATACATAATCATTATATTCTTTAATTATAAAACAAAAAATTTTATAAAAAAATGAAATTATGGATGCATTCAAGCATGACAGTTAAATAAACCTGGATCAAACCAATAGACATACATCAAACACAAATTAACTTAGTAATTAGCATGATTAACTATCAAAAAAAAAAACCATGATTAAGAAGTTTCATAGCAACGTTTTATTTCAATAATCTTGATTGGATGATGGTGAGACCTGCAATGCTTTATGACGTAGAATATTGGCCTGTAAAAGAGAAGCATGAAACAAAGGTAATCATTGTTGAAATGAGAATGCTTAGGTGGATGAGTGGCTTAACTCTTAGAGACAATGCAAAACGAAACTATCCATGAAAGGGATGGTGTAGCTCCAACGACAAACAAGATTAAAGAGAGTTATTTTAGATAGTTTGGTCATATCAAAAATGGACCATCTAATGATTTGGTTAGGAGATTAGATGTTTTAGATTTGAGTTATGTTAAAAAGATAGAGGTAGATCTACAAATACTTGGGCATACTGTATAAAAATGAATTTAATCTATTAGAATTAAATAAAAATATGACACTAAATAAGACACAATGGAGAAAAAAAAATTCATGTAGCCGACCCCACTTAGTGGGATAAATGCTTGACTATTGTTTTTGTTATTTTGACCCCCAATTAATGAACTAAAGTAAAAGGGCACTTTTGTAATGTGGTACCGCTCACCTACCACATCTCACCTACCATTCACCTACCGTTCACCTACCACTCACCTACCGCTCACCTACCTCCCACCTACCACTCTCTTGCTTCTATAAATAGAGAGGGTGTGAGGCATATGAGAGCAAGGGAAGAGATCTGAAGGGAGAAGAGATCTTAAACTACCACAAAGGAGGAGAGAATAGCTAGAGAATTAGAGAGGAGGAGAGCATCTTGAGGCCTTGTATCAAGGTGTCGCTTGAGAGGGAGGCCATAAAAGAAAGATGAGGGCTCATCTCTATGTATAAGCTATGTATTCTCCATTTCTTTTGCCTTAGTGAAATATTTGATTGATTCCCTCCCGTGGAC